ACATTGGTAGCCAGAAGACCTAGGTTCTGTGCTGTGCTGTGCTGCAGCTTATTCCCATTTCCTGAAGGTGCCTTCGGGCTCTCCGTATAACTGGGATAAATCAGCAAGGGCCAGGAATTGATGCAGAACTTCACTTAGTGTGGGGCTTTTTTCTGTTTCTCATCAGGTTAGGTATTAACTGTCCTTCGCCTTCCTGCTAGAACATCTAACTTTTACCCCTGCACCTCAGGGCACAGTGAAGAAGGAACAGAACCAGCAGGGTCATGATAGGGTGGATGAGGGAAGAGCTTGGTTCCTAGTAATAGGCATTTTTTGATGTTTTCAGGCTTTGGTGACCGGTTATTGAGTGAAGTGAAGAAACTTGCCCCAAAAGATGTAAAAATTAAGGTAAGGTTGTAGGTGATCACTTGTTATCTCACTTTTGGGAAAGAAAAAGAGAGCAGTGGCTTCTGAACCCATTCTCTCTCTAGTAACATCCACATATTTGGAACTATCAGATAGCTTCACCCCTGTACATCTACACACATTCCCCCATTATCCCATGAATCAAATGAGTGACAATTTTTGCATCTGGGAAAAAATCCAATCTGGGGATGGACAGATGTGGGATGGTGATTATTGTCTTCACAGTTTTTGTTCCTTCTAGATTTCAGCACCTCAGGAACGGCTGTACTCCACATGGATAGGGTAAGGTTCATGGGCTGAGAGGAGCTTGGGGTTCACGGCTAACAACTGGGGTGAATAACCAACCAAGCCATCTTCAGATGGAGACAGAAAGAGGGATCTCTGCCTCACAGGATGAGGGGAAGGGAACTGAGTCCTTCTGAAAGAATCGTACAATCAGACCACTCTAAATCATTAGTGACAGCCTTGTCTCTTCCACAGTGGCTCTATATTGGCTTCACTGGACACCTTTAAGAAGATGTGGGTATCCAAAAAGGAGTACGAGGAAGATGGAGCTCGTGCAATCCATCGAAAAACCTTCTAGTGCCGAGAGTGGGTGGTGTATATGGGAAGGGGTGGAAGGAAAAGAAAGGGGGGACTGTTGTGTTTAACCCTTTCTGGTCCAGGCTTAGGGCCCCCCTGCATGCCCAGCACCCCCCCAGGTGGGTGGTGTAGCTAATTCCCTATTCTCCTCTTCCCCCATACCTGTTTCCACTTTTCAGCTGGGTAGATGGGGTCCTTGAATTGGAACATAGGAATTGGGGAAGGATTTGGTTTGTTCTGGGTTGCCATCCTTAGCTAGGATCAAGGTAGCTTGTGGTCACCTACTGGTGGACAGTTGTGGGGGCTGCTTTCCCTTAAAGTCCATATACCCCACCATCCTCATTTTCCTTCCCATTGCAGTGCCCAGCTTAGAACAAGGGTACCTGGAAGACTTCGTGACTAACTTCTAGGGAGGGAAGTGAGAGAGGGTCAAGGCTGTGAGCAGATCTTTGCTTCACATCTCCCGTGGTCAGATTTAAGCCATTCACCCATCTTTTCATTGAACCAACAGCAGTGAGAGAGTCTCGGCTGAGGCATTTCTGGCTCCTCTCCTTCACCTTTCTCTCTGCCTAGGGCTGGGATTCCCTAGCACAGAATTAAATAGGGAAGCCTTTCATCCTGGTACTAAGGTGCCTGACCTTGGTCCAGGGTTAAGTCCTTTAGTCTCCAATCAAGGGGTTTAACAGGGTTAGGATGGTGGAGGCTCCTTTATCTCCCCTGCAAAGCACTTAAATGAACTGCTGCCTCCATCCTCCTCCTTCCCTGCTTACTCTGGATTGGAAAGGGTTAATACTTTTCATTTGCTCAATGAAAGCCACTTAATGAGGAGCTAGGGCTGTGCCTGGTTGGTAGGGCTTCCTCTCCCTTATTACCCTAAACCAAGGGGTCCATGGCCAGGTCCCTGTCCTCCACAGCCAGCCCTACCCCCTAGACATGTACAATAATTTAACACAGTTGCCTGTATTTTTTTTGTAAATTCATTATAGTAATAATTATGAACAAGGTGTGGTGTGTGACTCTACTTTCTCCTAATTCTGTTTTGTTGATTTTGGCAAAAAGCATCCTATCCTTCTTATCTGTTTCTTCCTGGGGTAGATCTGTTCTGCAAACAGTTGCTATAGGCTGAGCAGATGCTGTGCATACCACTTGTATTTTCTCCTCGAATTGTCTCCAGGGTCCTTCAGAGATAGGCCTCTAAGGTAGAGCAGTGAGGCATGGATGCTATCTCCAAAACAAGTAGAGTATCTAGAGTTGTTAGGACAACATGGAAGCCCCAAGAGATTACGCCCCTTTACTGTGGCAGAATTTCCTAGCTCCATTATTCCCTTGTTAAAAATCCTCAGGGGGATAGAGAATTCACAAGCCTTATCAGCACTTAACAGAATTTATTCCTGGAAGTAATCTTGAGTTGTGTTGTGACTCATAGAATGATCTATCATTACTTCTAATTGCTGGGCATCTTTTATCTGTAAGGCATTCATACAAAGACAGAGGTAGGATCTGCCTTTGAGATACTAACCATGTAGTCCAGGAGACCTCATCTTGAAGCTCCCAAGCTAGATTTTCTTCTTGACTTCATTTCTCTTAATGACATTACCACACTCTCATTCACCTACACTTGAAATCTGTCATTTTTACCTTCTTCCTCTCTGCTGCCTCATTAACAAGCATTAAATGCCTACTATGTTCCAGACACTGTGCCAGGGATTCAAATGAAAAAGAAACAGCCATTGCCCTCAGAGGTTAAATAGGGAATTATACATACAGAGGTATTTACATGCAAAACATTCAAAATAAACACACGATAATTTGAAGGGTGGGAAGGAGAGACTTCAGCAACCACAGGGAACTAGAAAAAGCCTCATAGGTGTCTGAGCTAAGCTTTGAAGAAAACTAGGGGTTCTAAGAGATGAAGCTTAGAAGGGACTGCTCTTCAGGAATGCTGGACAGCCAGTGCAGAAGCAATGGAGATGGGAGATGATAGTTCTTGTATGATGAGCAGCAAGTATAGTTTGGCTGGACCAGAGCATATTAAGGTAATGCCTAAGTCAGGAAAAGTAGGCTAGAGACAACTTCTGTTGATTCTTTTAGAAACCTTCAGTTGATCCTCCTTGCCTACTCAATACAAGCCCAACTCCTTAGCCAGACATTACCTTTGTATGTTACTTTCACATATTTTTTAAAGATCCTCTATAATTAGGACCCAGCCTACCTTTCCAGCTCTATGTCCACTACTTTCCTTCCCATGTGTATTCTACACTACTCAAACTGGAGACTACCCACCATTTTACATTTTGCTCATGTTCTCCCTATCTAGAATTTCATTTCTTGTAATTCTCATTTCCTACCCCACCCCCAACCTTATCTGTCCTCAAAAACCCAGCTTAACCACTAGCCTATGAAACCTACCAGGATCACCCCAAGTAACAGTGATCCCACCTTCAGTAGGTCCTACAAGCCTTTCTACCACTTTTGTGGCCCTTATCACATATCTTACCAATTATTCATAAATTTATTTTTCCTAGTAAATTTTAAGCTTCTCAATGGTCAAAACCACATTTTATTCATCTTTATAACCTATACAGCCTAGCACGTGCAAGTAGGCATTCATAATTGTTGAAAAAGATAACATAAGAACTGAGACTCATGCCCATGTTCTTCCTCAGTGAAGATGGAATTTTACTCCAGCCAACAGAGGAACAAGGTACTTAAAATGGGGTATTTAGCTCTAACAATTAATGTGGTTCAAGGCTTAAAAAGATGGGGGGAGGGGTTGACTCATTGCCCTTTTTAAGAAGTAGTATTGATTCTCACTCTTCCTAGGGTCTGAGACAAAGAATGATTTCAGGAATATGGTTGTGATTAGGGGTGGACAAGAAGCCGCAGGAATTAAGGGAGTTCACTGGTTCAGAAAAGTTCTTTGGAGCCTTTTTCATTATAATTCACTTGAAGTTCTAATTTGTAGTGTTCAGGTTGAAGGAACTGGTTAATAAGGATTTAAATCAGTAGGCCTTTTGAAATAATTCATTTAGAAACCATGATATCCAAGAAATAAAGAGAGAGAAGCAATGACTGGCTAGTACTAAAAGATCTGTGGGACTTAAGTAAATCACTAATAGTTTAATTAAAATCAGTTTCTAGAACAGGAATTCTTGACCTTATTGTGAGACCTCTTTGACAGTCTGGTGAAACTTATTAAAACTACTTTAAGACTACAAAATAAAACAATTGTATTAAAAAACAATTATTGAAATACTCTTTTTAAAAAGTTAGGAGACCCCAGGTTAAGAACTCCTGTTCTAGAGAATACATACTTGTGGCAACAATCCAAATAGGAAAGCTCAGGTTTAGAGCAATGTTTCAAATTGCAGGTAAGAAGGAAAGGATCAGGGGCTGAGAGGTGAGCTGTGTGTAGTCTATTCCTCCTAAGCTGATGAGGCAAAACATGTACAACACTGGGAAAAATCAAGTGTCCGGAAGATGAGTGTAGGATGCTGAAAGTAACATTGGTTTGGAGAGTCAGCTGTCTCTTACTACTTGTGTGATCTTAGCCAAGTCAATTTCACTCTGCAACCACTTCTTTATCTGTAAAATGAGGGAAGTTAAATTATCTTTATCACTTCTAGTTCTAAGTCATATGGAGACTGTTCAGGGCCTTTACCATCAGCTGTTTTCCTTCTATTTGCAGTCAGAATTCACTGTGTGCCTACCTTACAACAGGCAAAAAAAAGTTAAGATCATGGAGCTTTTTATTATGACTTTTTGGGGTTTACTAGTTGCTAGCAAGTTTTTAAAAACACAAACATTTACAAAGTACAGAAAGTGGCAAGAAATTGTGTTCTTATTTAATAAGGTGGCTAGAATATTTCTTCTAGTTTTCACATGCTAACAAGATTGCATCAGAGGGTAGTAAAATTTATGGGGTTATATATACAAAGCCTCACCCTAGGGAAATGGAAGCACTTTCCTGGGAAGAAACAAAAAAACAACAATAGAAATATGAAACCAGTCACTTATATTATGGGAGAGCCAGGGAAATGGCTAGTCTTTTATTGGAGGGAAAAAACATTACAACACATCTCAAGTAAATCTCAAGTAAATCTCAGGGGCTCAGTGACTAAACTGCTGGGGTACCAGCTTGTAATGGGTTCCACAGTTAGGGCAACGCTGTGTCTCGCCTTTGTGAAGCCAGAACCAGATGACTGCACTGTTGTCCTCTTCACCTGCAGGGAAGAAAGATGAATCCACTAGAAGGGGAAACCCTGCCCCTGAAAAACTGCCACTACCATTTCAGAATCTCCTCTTTTCTCCCTGTAGCATCTCATCTTGGGGCAAGTAGATTTGAGACCACCTCAAAATTCCAAACTGCTATGGGTTCAAAGATGCAAGTAATCAGTGAATGCCCCCTCAACACCCCCAATGTATACAACCTCCTACTTTTGCCCTCCAAGCCACAAACTAAAAGCAAAGCTCCACTTTACTTTAGAAATCTTTCCCTTTGGCCTTAAGATAAAGCAGTATTAGGATGACTTAAACTCTATTTGAATGACACATCCTCTAACAGGAAAGATGACCTCTTTTTAAGGATATTTGTACTTTATGATAATATCTTGTTTTTAGGAATACTCACAGACACAACCCACTATTCGCTTGTCAGTGATGGAAGGGACCAGGTTGGGTTCCTCCTTAGTTCCTGGAGCTGCCTTTGGGGCTAGAATATTGTATGGATCCTGCAAGAACAATAATATTCAACAGTTGAGCTGACTAACCACTCCATACAGTGGAGAAAAATGCTGCATTTTAAATAAGATCTGTGTTCAAATTCTGCCTCTGCTACTACCTGTGTGACCTTGAGCAAGACACTTTATCATCACTTCAACTCTCAACTTTCCTATCTGCAAAAACAATTAGACTAGCTAGCATGAAGGTCCCTTCAACCTCCAAATCGATGATCATCAAATTGGTCAAATAAGCTGTCTCTTTACCAAGACTTTACAGAAGATGTTGGGGTTGGGGTGAGAGTCTGCTGTGAAACCAACTCAAACATTCCCAACTATGGGGAATGACACGTTCCAGTGTAATTTGAAACTCACCAAATCATCCCTTGCAGCGATCATAATCTCTCTCTCCAAGCCAGTAGCCTGCTCCTCATCAGAAGGGATACCTACAGGAAGATGCAATGAATGCGGGAGATTGTCTATACTGATGCAAGACTTAACAGCTCAGAGTGCTGGTGACAGTCACTGTGTGCAACATTCCATAAGTCACCGACACACATCAATCAAGCTATATGGAGACCTCGTTAAACTAGAGGCCGATATTCAAAGGCACTTCCTCGAGACAGGCCCGAGGCTCAGTCCTGGGTCCTTTCTCCAGGTTCTCCCCGTAACTGCCGCTGGCAGCAATCGAGAGGGGGAGCGAAGGCAGCGGTCCCTAGGTGTCCCGGCCCTCGGCAAGGTCACCCAGTGTCCCCACTTTCATGGCTCTGGAAAAAGTCCAACCCAACAAGCATTTATTAGGCACCTACTCTGCGCCATAACTGTTTTAGGCGCCGGGGTCAAAGGGACGAAGAAACAAACCGTCCCTGCCCTCAGAAGTTACATTCCTTGCCGGAGGTGCGGGCCCAGCTCGCTCGGAGGACCCGCAGGGAGGCTCCACCGTGGCCGGAGGAAGCCCCTCCACCGCCTCCCTTCAGTTCCTGCCAAGGCCGGGGGCCTCCCTGCAGAGATCGCCGGGATCCAATGCCTCACGTACCTCCTCCGGTCGCCATGGAGCGAGCGGCCACCCGAGCAGGGCCACAGGCCCTCAAGGCCTGGACCGCCAGCGCCCCGGCGCCCCGCAGTAACCTTGAAGCCATCGCGCCTGACACAACTCCAACCGGTTGTAGCAGCGGCGCTTCCCGAATGAGGCCTCGGAAAAGGCGGGGCTTCCCCTCTCCCCGGTCACGTGTCTAAGACAGCCTATCCTGGCTCTTTCTCCTCCCTCCTAGGTCCGAGCACCGGATTACGCGAGATGGGAGCCCTCCTTTGCCGCAGGAGAGGGGAGGGGCTCGCGCTGCCTCGGGGGAGGCAGCTGTGCGTGCCCGTGCTGGTGCTGCTCGCGCTAGGGCTTAAGCTAGCGCTGCTTTTGGGTCATCCGAAGAAGTTTGCAGGCGTGCGGCTAAGCTGGGCGCTAAATAAAGCACTCTAAACTACAAAAGAGATCAGACTCTGACTCCAGCAGCTAGGTTGTAGTGGTTGGAGCGCTGGGCCTGGAGTCAGTTCTCAGTTCAAATCCAGCCTCAGACCCTTTCTAGCTATGTGACGCCCTTTAAACGTTGTACTGAAAATGGGGGTGGTGGTGATAATAATAATAAAAATGGGACCTATTCCCAGAGTGGTTGGGATATTTGCAAAACACTTGTCAGAATGCTTGGCATATTTGTTGTTAAGTCGAGGCCGACTCTTCCATGACTCTTCCAGACTATCTCCTTAATGTTCGAACGGTTTTCTTGGCAAAATACTGGAGTGGTTTTGCCATTTCCTTCTCCAGTGGATTAAGGCAAGCAAGGGTTAAGCGACTTGCTTAGGGTCACACAGTTAGTAAATGTCTGAGGTCAGATTTTAACCCAGGTCTTCCTGACTCCAGGCTCAGCGTTCTATCAACTGAGCCATGTAGCTGCGTAGACATAGTAGGGACTTAATAAGTGCATATTTCCTTCCTCAAGATGGACGAAAAACACTCACATACTTGGGAGTCTAAACAAGCTCCCTCTTTTCTACAGGAAAGTGAAGCTGGGGTGGTGAGTGTGACTGGTCCAAAGGCATTCAGCTAGAAGAGTCAGGTTTCAAATTCAGGTACTCTGATTGCAAATCCATCCCACCACTCTAACGCAGCACCAGGCTAGTTCAGCCCTCCTCTTATCAGGGAAACAGGACCAGGAGAGCTAACCTCTAGTTCCAATTCTGCCACTGAGTATGTATGACCTTAGGCAAGTCATAGCCCTCCCCTGTGTCTGGAAAAATGATCACTATGAAGCCCTTTTCTGCTCTCCTAGACTACCCCAGAGGCCAGGCATGTTTCCTGTCCAAACTGCCCAGGGAAGGGAAGCAGTTCCTCTGGAAAGGGCTTTCTACAAAGTGACCTGGGATTATGGAAATTAGGTGAGCTGAAGTCTTTGTGGAACTCCTCAGTCCATGTCACCACCCTTTGTCTTTTAAAGCTAACAATTCCGATTGGAACAAAAGTTCCAATCAGGAGGGGAGGGGGCATAAATGGAGCAATATTAAAACGGTTGATTTTCTACTGTAGAATTTAAATAAGCTTTGAACTAATCTGTCACACTCAACCCAGGCTACTTATATGTTATAATTAATATCCTAACCTAAGCTATTGTCAAAGTTCACCTTCTAAGTAACGACTTGGCTAATGTATAATGGAATTCTTACAGTTCTAGAAAGATTGCTTTTTTCTGACCTTTAAAATTGCAGCGGGAGGAAAGCCCCTCAGTTGTAATTGGGGAGCCTTGGCAGATCAACACAGATAGGTTCCCTTAAGCCAAGCAATTCCTAAACAAAACTAGGGCTAGTCCTAGAAAGAATCTTTGCCTTGAATATTCATGACTTGGGGAACTCTTTCCTCTTCCTTTTCACTTCCCACTCTTGTTACTCTTTTCCTTACTTTTTCCCTTCAAGACTCATTACTCTCTTGTCTTTCCAGTCCTTTCCTTCCATTTAAGGGCCATCTTTTTCTTCTTTACTTTTCTTTCTCTATAACTGGTGCCAGATTCCTTACTCCAGCATATTGATTATAATCAACATTCAGATAGGTGACCTACCTGACAACAGACAATCTCTGCCTTATAACTGCTGTTTTATCAGGTCCTTTCTCATGAAAGAGTGCCCCTAAAGACCCTAACCAAAATCTGAAAACACAAAATCAGGCAAAAAGGTATGTATAGAAACTAGGAACAAATGGGTGATAAAGAACTAGAAATGTGTTTGGTGCAAGGCAGATCTAACAATAATCTGTGGTTGTGGTTTGTCCTTTGTTCTCAAAGAGGACCATGACATTAGGGAGATGATGACATGACTTGCAATTGACTTTGATTTGAGTGAGGAAGGGCTATGCAAAGTCACCAGCCTCACTTTCTCCTCCAGAGCCATCTGGGTCCAGTGGCCAGATATTGATCAGGAAGACTGGAGACACCCTAACCCTAATCCTATCTTCTCCTAATCCTATGAAAATAGTGCCTTCCAGAACTAAAAGAATTCCTGAATACAGTTTATGCGTTAGCCAAGTCATTACTTGGAAGGTGAATTTTGACATTAGCTAAGGCTAGAATATTAGTCATAACATATTTACCTTTCTAGTTTTTCTTATATCTTAAATTATATTTGATGTTATGATATTACCATATCATATACCAAATATATTCAAATTATTATATCATATACCAAATATATTCATTATTTAGAATAGATGCCATGCATATTTAGCAAGATCTTTCACATTCTAGAATCTTACCCAATATAACAATAACATCACATTTACATAGTGCTTTCCTCACAACTCAGGGAAACTATTGGAGTTATTTTACAGAGGCTAAGGCTCAGAGATATTATGACTTGCCTATGGTTACATAGCTAGTAAGAATTTGAAGCTGAATTGGAATACAGGTTTCCTTGACCAAGAACCCAGCATTTATTTTACATATAGGGTGAGGCACCAGAGAGAACTTACTGGTGGAAGTTATGGAGAAGCAAGGAAATAAAATATTTATTTATTTATTTATTTTAGCAAATACAGCTTTCTGAAAATGAAATGCTACTGGAAGTGTTCAGTTGGATAATGGATGACCACTTACTAAAGGAATTGGGATAACTCAGTTGAGAAAGCAGCTGGATTTTAATCTAGGGTTCATATCTTAAAAAAAAAAAACCTAATTATTAAAAAATAGCAATAGGACACATTTGCAAGGAAAGTTTAAAAATAATGGTAAACACAAGATTAGCACACATTTGTGTTTTGAGGTAGTTGTTACAAGCATTATCACAAAGGACTGCCCGGGCAGTGTGTACACTGTATTAGATTACACCCTGAGCCATGAATACAGGAATTCAAATCCTGCCTCAGGCTCTTGCTAACTAACCTGGGGAGAGGTCACTTAACCTTTCTCAGCCTTAGGTTCCATATTTGTAAAATGCAGATAGCAATGGCACCTACTTACTAGGTGGCTGTAAGGATCAAATAAGAGAATACACTTGAAGCACTACATACATCTTAATTATGATTATTAAATGTTAGCTATTATTGAGGAGCTTAATGTAGGTCGACCACACTAGACTCTCTCTCCTCTGGGGAGTAGTTTAATATTCTATCCCTAGCCTTCATGTCTGCAAAAAAGATTTGAATTTATAGTTATGATCAAATGATGATACTACTCAAATTAATTTACAGGTTTAGTACTATGCTAATCAAATCACCAAAGGGATATTTTGTAGAGCTAGACAAAATAAAATTGATTTGGAGGGGAAAAAAGATCTAGAATTTCAAGGGAAATAATGGAGAAAGGGGGAAAAAAAGGGGGAATGCTATATCCAGACTTCAAATTATACTACAAAGCAGTAATGATCAATATTATTTGGCACTGGTTAAAAAGCAGAAGTTCAGAACAACAGATTACATAAGGAAGAAACAGGAACAACTGGATTTAATAATCTAGTATTTAACAAATCCAAGAAGATGAATTAGTTGGGGAAGAATTCTCTATTTGACAAAAATTGCTGCAAAAATGGAAAAGCAGTTTGGCAGAAGTTAGATTTTTTTAGACCAACACCTTACACCATATGCCACAATAAGCTCAAAGTGGATAGAGGACTTGAATATTAAATATCATACCATTAAAAAAATCAGGAGAAAACCAGATCAGATACCTTTTACAAGTATGGGCTAGGGAAAAGATTTTTAAAAATATTTTAAGTAGGAATTTTTAAATTAAATTAATTTTTTCTTCAACTGAAAATCTGTTTCCTATCCTTATCTCCTCCTTCATTGGAAAAAAGAAAAATAAAACCCACGTAACAAATATGCATATGTCAAACATTAGAAATTTTCACTTGGGCTGTGTCCAAAAACATCTCAATCTTCATCCCAAGTCCATCTGTCTGGAAGTGGGTAACATGCTTCATCTTTAGTCTTCTAGAATCATGGTTGGTCATTGCATTGATCAGAGCTCCCAAGTCTTACAAAGTTGTTTGTCTTTATAATGTTGTTGTTGAACGAATTGTTCTCCTGGTTCTGCTCACTTCACTCTGTCTCAAGTCATACAAGTCTTCCCAGGTTTCTATTAAACTCTCCTTTTTATCATTTTTTTTTATAGCACAATAGTATTCCATCAAATTAAAAGGCCTTAATTTGTTCGGCTACTATTCAACTGATGGACACCCCTCCTTATTTTCCAAGTTGTCACCATAAAAAAAGCTGCTATAAACATTTTTGTATATATTGGTTCTTTTCCCCTTTCTTTGGGGTATAGACCTAGTAGTGACATCACTGAATCAAAAGGTATACATAGTTTAGTAACTTTGGGAACATAGTTTGGGAGGAAGATTTTATACCAAACAATAGATAGATAAGAACTCCAAAGGAAAACAGATAATTTCAATTACTGAAATTCAAAAACTTTTGTAGGAACAAAATTGCAGTTGGTTTGGAAAAAAATATTTGCATCAAATATTTCTGAAAAGGGTATGATATATAAAATGTATAATTAACACAAATGTATAAGACAAGAAGCATTCTTCCATGGATGTATGGTCAAAGAACATAAACAAACAGTTCTCAAAAGAATTGAAAACTAATAACAACTATATGAAAATGTGCTCCAAATCA